TTGACCTCGCATCCCTACAAAGCCGGGACGGAGCACGCCGGGTTCTCACCGGACCAGGCTCTCACATCACCAAATGGGGGCATCATTTGCGTTGTGCGTGGCAGACCCAAAATATTTCCATTTAACGACTGACGTCTGTTCATTGGTCTGCCTGTAAGAGCCGTCAATTCAAATTCAATAAATCACCGCCGACCGAAGGACCAAACGAATGGACGAACGACCGAAAAGGCTGACAAACAGTGCAATGATCCACCGAACGAACGAACGAACAAAACAGCGAACGGAACGGACCTGGAGGTAGACCATGGTCTCCGGGTTGTTCAGGTGGGCCTCTCCGCCATCGCGGTAGTGGAACTGCCCGAGGTTGTCGAGGAGCGGCAGGTTCGACGTGTTCGGCGGGTAGGCCTTCTGGTGGAGGCGGCAGATGTCCATGTAGAGCGACGAGAAGTCCGTGCCCCGGAGACGGGACGTCGTGCCCGTGAAGCAGCGGTCGACGATCTCGTCCGCCAGACCCACCGCCTCAAACACCTATCCATTATTATTTCGAGAAAATGATGGGGATAATAGGGTTCGAGATGATGATCATGATGGGTTTTCCACGAAAACGCGGCGCTGTGGTGGCGGGGGAGGAGATTGTTGGCGGAGGCAGAGTTAACTAGTCATTTCTGCGTGCGTGCCTGCTGCCTGCTCCTCTCCCGTTCTGGTAGCTCTCGCACGTATAACCGCGTGGTGAACGCACTGCAAGCACGCGCGACAGCGTTTTATCTACGCGGAAAGACAGGGAGCAGAGGTTCCAGATTACGTGCGTGCAGAGAGATAACTCGAACTGAAAAACAAACTAGGAAAGCAAAGCACGACGAAGGAACGCAAAACACGACCAAGACCGCCCGCCAGGACGGCAGGAACAACCACACCAGCAGCACAGCACACACCTGGGCTCCCTTGTAGGACTGCAGCGTGGAGATGCCCATCTTGGACATGACCTTGAGGATGCCCTTGGCGATGCTCTTGCGGTAGGCCGAGAACAGGTCCTGGTCGCTGTAGTCCTCCTTCGCCTTCGCCGACACGAGACCCTCGTTGTTCATCTTCGCGATCGCCTCGTAGGCCATGTAGGGAGCCACGCCGTCGGCGCCGTACCTGTTTCGAGTGGGACGAGGACGAATGTGCGCCGCGGTTTTCCCATGGCCGACGTGGAAAGCGGAGGTGCGGGGTCGGTGGCGGGCAGCGGAGGTGAAATACGAGTCGCACGCTCGAGAAAGCTCTCCGCACCCGTATGTTGCCTCGAGGGGATTTCACGTCCGACTGTTGGTGTCGAGTGCCACTAAATAACGACTGCTCCGCCGCGATCTCATACCAGGTATGGAATAACACGGGCGTGTGTAGGGGGCTGCCCGTGCAAATATGCGTGGTGGCAAGAGTCCTAAGCCAAGGCGTGTGCGCGTGTATGGGCGTGGTGCCTATTCGTTGCCCGCTTACCCATTCACCACCGACACATGTCATGCAACACGGGTCACCATTCCTACCCCTACCAAAAGACACGCTACAAGCCGGGGAGCGCCGGGGTACACAGGGCACCAGGATAAACGACGTACCCGATAAGGGTGGCCATGTCGTGGACCTCGCGCGCGTCGCCCATCTCGGCAAAGATGGCCCCCTTCAGCCGCTGCTTCGTCGTGAGGAGGTGTTGGTGCACCGCCCCTACCGCGAGCAGGGAGGGCACCGGAAGACGGTCGGGTCCGGCCAAGCGGTCGGACAGGATCACCGCCTGGAAAAAACGAATCAGAAAAAAAAAAAAAAGTATCGCAATACACACGCCATGAATATTGAAGGACACGTTATGTATTCCAGTGATGAGGGGGACGAACGACGGGGCAAGACACCGACCACGCTGTGACGACACGGGCATCAGGCAACAGAATGGTAGCAGCCGTAGCAGATCAGAGTCGACATCCGGTAGACAGTGACCGGACAACTCAAACGCAAGAGCGAGGGACCGAAGCAGCGACCACTGGCAGACTATCCACCTTCAACACCACACCAAACCACGGTGGCTCCAAAAAGGACCACGAGTCACACCCGCCCGATACACCGCCAAACACGTCAACCTCTAAATCACAGCAAGATACATACATCAAACTCAACATCGAGAGTAACGACAACAGGGCACCGTGAGAAAAAAAATCCAACCACAAAACAAATATTACGGAAACATTATCTGGTTTCCTGGCCCAACTCTAGGAAACTGAGTGGGACGGTATGACTGAAACGGGACGGAATGGGTATAAGCAAGGTACGGTTAAGGACGGGACGGACCTGGCAGTTGCCGCCGCGAAGGGCTTCCGAGCTCTCCATGCAGATGTTGTCCAAGGCCTCCATGAGGCCATCGGGGCCCGAGCTGACGGGGAAGGTCGCGTCGAGCACCTGGGTCTTCCATCCCTTGTACTCCGTATCCTTCAGAGCCTGTCGACGTATCGAATCGAATAAAATATGGCACAAGGGGCACGAGGGTTGGAGGAGTGGGTGTGGATATTTGTGAGGGGCAGGCAAGACGCAGACAACGTAGCATACCCGCCACCGGCAAACAAAAACTTCAGCAGCAGCAGCAGCAGCAGCAGCAGCAGCGAAAAACCCGCCATCAACAACAGCAGCAACAGCAACAATAACAACAACCACAACAACAACAACAACAACAACAACAACAACAACAACAACAGAGCACAACAGAGCAGCGCCACGAGATCAACCAACAAACCAAGAGCAAACATACACGCATGTAATGCGGTATAGCAGCAGAGCACGAAACTGCTGCATTCACGGACCTGCATCTCCTCGAGCGTGAGGATGGGGTTCTCGATCACCAGGCGGGCGCAGTGCTCCGGGCCCACCACCAAGCCGTTCGCCTCGGGCCCGACGGGGCACACGAGAGACATCACCATCTCCTCACGGATAGGGTCGATGGGGGGGTTGGTCACCTAAAAAATTCCGCGGTGGGGGCGGTGGTGGTGGATGGAAGAGGTTGAGGGTTCGGGTGCAAAATGATGATGATGACATGGCTGTCCGGGGGGAGGGGGTTTAGAGTCGGAATTGAAGCTGGATCCGATTCTGTTGTGCCCGTGGGTTTGCTAAGGTATTGGTATTGATATTGCAACTCGGACGGTCGGCGTTCTGTGTGTGCCCTCCACATCCCTGCAGCAGGAGTTTCGTCAAAAACACCGGGTTGACCGCTCAACCCAAAAGCCGTACGACATGACAACACCCCATCAGGCATGCAGGCTTCACTGCCGTTTCCGTTGTGCAAAGACTTGCATCTATGCCGGCAGGCACATTGCACCAGGCATGCAGGCTTCACGGTGCCGTTGCCCAAGAACTTCACACCTATTCCGACAGGCACGGACACGTTAGCCCTTGCCCATCAGCACAAATCAAAATCCAAGAACGCGACAAAATGACGACGACACAAGGGCTTTCGAAAAACATCTGAAGCAATGACCCTTGCCTGCGCGAAGAGCTGCTTGAAGTAGTCGAACAACAGCCGGGGCGTGTGGGACAGCACGGCTAGGGGGGCGTCGTTGCCCATGGAGCCGAGGCCCTCGCGGCCGCCGATGATCATGGGCATGAGGAGCATGTCCATCGTCTCGCCGGTGAATCCAAACATGTTGAACCGCCGAACAGAGTCCTCGAGGTTGAAGCCGGGCACCTGAGGCGGGCGAAATTCACACACTCAGGAGACGACGAGAACAATAAAAGCGAGGAAGACACCGAAACAATGCACGAACTATGGATTCACACCATCCCGCTCTCTCTTGATGGGCGGAAAAGGTCGGCATCCAGCCTAAGTACTGCTAGCACATACGGCGTGCCACAAGAGGTGCCACACAGAGTGAGGCTTCAACAAATGCGGAAGAGAAAAAAAATTCAAGGATACAAGACTTTTTGAAAAATGTTCCTCGATACAACGTTACTCCCTGCCCAAACATAACACTCACACAAGCACAAACTTAGCAAGCGTTCTCGGTGTTTCTCTACTAAGGACTGTAATTTCCCAGTTGGTCAATCGAGTTGAACAGCGGTCGATTCAAGTCAAATCTCCCTACCGAAGCCCCTCCGTCAACGATTGACCAATTGATAGTCTCACCTAAATAGAGGACACATTTTGCGCGGTTTGTCGTGGTTAGTACTCAAAAGCACACAACAGCCAGCCCGCTCTCGCGCTCGACGGACAAAAGGAAGGACGAATACAAATATACCCACAAACCATAAAAAAAAAAGGAAACTACAGTAATACTGGCACTACACGTACCTTGGTGCCGACGCCCTGGCTGTGTTCCGTCCAGCCCTTGATGTTGATCAAGTTCTTCTCGAGCCACTCCGCGTACGGCAGGCGGTTGGCGTACTTCTCCTTGACGATGTCGTCGGGCACGATCTCTCCCACGTCCAGGTCCACGAGGAACATCTTGCCGGGCTCCAGGCGGGCCTTCTTCACCACGCTCTCGTCTGGCAGGTTGGGCAGCACGCCCACCTGCGGGGTCGGGCACAGCGGTAGGGTCGTGTGTCGTGCGGGTCGGGTGTCGGGGCCATGATGGTGTTTGGCTTGGGCTGTTACGTGTCTTCGCCGTGTGACAGGCGATCACCAAGATGAGCTAGTCAGCTCAGCAGGACGCGCTCGTCACCAGTCACGCAGCTCTGGGAGGGGCGGAGCTCTCCCCCCCCCTTGTGCTCAACGCACCCACAGACCCCCCTCCCTATCATAATCTCGAGTCACTCTGTACAAGTCTCATATGGAACAACCAACTCCTCTTACCTCAGAGAACCGAGAACGCGCCCCTGCATTGGTCACACAGTACCGGGAGGGGCGGAACCCCCCCCATCGCGCTCAACGGACACACGGAACACCCCCCCCCTCCCTAGTAAACCTCGGATCACCGAAAAGTCCAATATGGAACAACAACCTCCTCCCTTCCTTGTAGACTACCTCAAAAGGACACAAGAACGCGCTCTGCATCGGTCGCTTAGTACTGGGAGGACCGGAGCCCCCCCCCCCCCCCCCCCCNCCCCCCCCCCCCCTCGCGCTCAAGGGATAAATGGAACACCCCCCCAATCACTGTGAAGTCCCATATGGAACGACAACCCCCTCCCCCCTTACCTCAGAGGACAGGAGAACGCGGTCGTCGTCGGTCACGTAGTACCGCGACGGGCGGAGTCCGTTGCGGTCCAGCGTGGCCCCGATGTAGCGGCCGTCCGTGAAGGCCATCATGGCAGGCCCGTCCCACGGCTCCATGCTGCATGAGTTGTACTCGTAGAAGGCGGCCTTGGCGTCCGAGAGGAATGCGTTGTCCTGCCAGGCCTCCGGCACCATGGACATCATCACCTTTTACGAATACATCCAAGCAAGGGCAGGAGAGGGGTGGGGGGCGTACTCTTTTGTGTTTTGCATGCCTTAGCGGTTAGACCATTGACCACGCGTCCTCGAGAGGACGGAGCATTGTTCCCACAGGACCGATAACCGATGGCCAATCGTTCCTTCCGACAGGATAGGGGGGGGAGTGTACTCATAGTTGTGCATGCCGTAGTCGTTAGACCATTGACCACGCGTCCTCGAGAGGACGGAGCATTGTTCCCACAGGACCGATAACCGATGGCCAATCGTTCCTTCCGACAGGATAGGGGGGGGAGTGTACTCATAGTTGTGCATGCCGTAGTCGTTAGACCATTGACCTCGCATCCCTACAACGCCGGGTTCTCAACGGACCAGGCGACAGGAGAGGGGGGGGGATATGTTTTGTGAGTTTTCGACAGGATGCGCAGACGTAATTATGAAGATAGCTCCTCCTTCGCATGATCGGAGAAATAATGGAAAACCTCCTTTCGCACGAGCGGCACATCGAGGAAACAAACACCCTACGCCTACGACCCGTGCGAACCCGCTTACCTGACTACTCCAACCTATGTTGAGCACGAGATACACACGTGGACGCAACTCAGCATGCACAAACACATGTCAAACATCCCGGCACACGTGGGCGTATGGCGCAGAACACGCCCTCAAACAAAACCCAAACACACCTCCGGTATCTCGCGGTCGCCGGCCTTGACGCTGAGCTCTAGAACTGAGTCGAAGTTACCAGAGTCGGACATGTTGTCCGAGCACGCGGGGAGTAGGTTTGCCGTCTCGTCGCCGAAGTACTCCGAGTGGAGCAGGCCGCCGCGGGCGTGCATCCAATTCTTGTTGCCGCGTAGGGTGTTTATTTCGCCGTTGTGACACATCATGCGGTTCGGCTGGGCGCGGTTCCTGTCCAGAGTTGTTGTGGTTCGTGCATTGGTGTTCGTTGGTGCTTTGGCTCACAAACAAAGAAGCCGTGTTGTTGTTGATGATGTTGTGCATTGTTGTTGGTTTGGAGACTATCTAACTTGTGACGTCTGTGACCCAGGTCCATTTCCCGTTAGCCCCGTCCTATTCATCGCTGGAGCGAAAAGAGACGTCCTCATGGGTGACAAGACCAGGAATGTATGCGCAGTACCATCCTTGAACGTGTGATGTGCATTATCTTCAATCTCCTTGCCTACCGTTACGGGGGGGGGGGGGGGGGGGGGGG